TATTTCTGATTGTAATTATTCCCAAATACAGTTAAAGTAAATGGCTCAGCTCAGGCAATGTCATAAGCATAAAAAACATTAGGTAATTCAGAGTTTTTTTGCTGTTACCCTCAGCTTATTTCTTAGAGATGTGAAGCAACAAGCAGAAAAGAGTACTTTTCTTTGGTGCCTTACAATAAAGAACAGGAAACATTCTCTGACAATTGTTGTCTCATGCATATCAATCAGGTAGCTTCACCTAATAAATGCTGCTGTTACATTAAATTCCTTTTTACTCAAATCAGATTGTGGTAATTGAATTCCAGGATTTAGTTACTCTCTGCACATATATGAAGATACTCACATTATAGGTTTTTTGTCTGGAAATCTGGAGGTGTCCCTCAGTTAACTGCTTTTCTTATAACCATCATCAAATATTCCATCAAAGGATCATTCAATTTTTTATTTACAACTAAAGGTATCACTTATCAGAACTGGCAGATGTGGTTGCTTGGTGAGCTACTGAAATTTTACACACAAAAGAGGAAAATATGCCATGCTAATATTCTGTTCCCATCTTTGGAAAGCTCAACAAGTCAGTTAAAATCTCTTCTTTGTGGGATAAAAGACATTATGCAAAAGACCAATGAATTTTAAACATATTAATAGCTTTTTCCTATGAATGAGTGAAAAGAAAGACATGACTTAGGCAACATCCGCATTCTTCTCTAAATTTATATTGCCACTTAGAATCATAGAACAGTTTGGGTTGGAAGGGACCTTTAAAGGTCATCTAGTCTAACCCCCCTGCAACGAGCAGGTCTCCAGTGCCTGTAACGATGGTACAGCTAAAAGTCATTGTAGGACCATTGATCCAAACATAAAAACAACAATCAGAGAAGCTTTGTTTCATATACATTTAGCATCTGACATCTTCCCACATTTGTGCATTAATCATTAACAGACATATCTGAGCATCCTGCTACAGGAGGTGATTTGACTTTCACAAATTTCCCTAAGAGCAGAAACATCATCAGGAACAATTTCAAGGAAATAATTATGGTCTAGACAGATTTATGATTTCTAAAGACCTAATCCAAAGCACATTAATGTCAGTGGAAGGACTCCCATTGACATCAAAGGCCTTTGGATCAATCCCCAACTGCTGCGGGAATGAATTCAGAGCAATAACGATGGTGGACTAAATGCACACTTGCAGTTGAAATGTTACCACCCAGACCTTTTTATTCCTCAAATCAGATTAAAAAGTCATTTTCTGCTATTTCACAATTACTTCCAGATGCACATCATCTCAAATGGCATTTTCATCCATCTGTATGAACCAAACATGCATGGAAACAGAGAGGTTCTACACTGCCTGAACTAATAATACAAATGAAAACCACAAGGGAAAATAATTTTGGAGGTGATGAACTTCATGTTTTAAACGTGGAGTGAGAAACCTTGGACTTCATTTACTCCTTGTAACTGCTTTGGGATAGAGCTGCCAGGCCCACTACTACTTTATTTACTGCCACAGTAGAACTCCTTTAATTAAATTTTCAGTATTTTTCTCTAGTCCTCTAAACAAAATAAAAGAATACACGTAAATCAGTGTTAGTCTCAAACTTGGCAGCCTAGAAACTGTCAGAAATGTCAACTTCATATACTCTCTGCTTAATAACATCTCTGCTGTCCCTTCTGTCCTCTTAAATGTCTATTTACATGCTAAATAATTTGAAGCATCACTCTTCTCTGACCATGTTAATCTAGTTTCATTCCCTTAGCAGTCAATAACATTTTAGACTGTAAAATGAAATGGCAATGTTGTGTGCGAGTGGCAACCCACTCAAAGTTTTACACAAACTCAATTCCAATATGTGACTGATCTGTCATCTACATCGTGTGTTACTCTGAAGCGCATGCTATGGGAACCACACATCTTTTATTCACTCCTCTAGTGAGACTTTGGTTAGGCAGGTTCAGTTATCACATATTCATTGTGAAATGAGCATGTTATGGACTGATTGAACTCTGCCTTACCAAATTAGTTTTAGTAGGTTTGAGAACTCTCTATAGGAAATTATATGTGATACTTTTTTTTGTTCAATAACACACATCTAGAATAACTCCATGTTTCAGTTTCTAATGAATATCCAACCTATTACCTACATCTTTGTACCCTTCTCTGCACTTCAGAAAACAAGGTATTTTTTTCTCCTTCTTCGGTTACTATATGTGTGGGAAACCAGATTATTAGTGTCTGGGCAATGCTACTACCTAAATTAAAAAAAATAATGAGGCAGAGAACAATTAACTGGTTTGGCGGGGTTTTGTGTTGGGTTTTTTTTTTTAAATAAAAATTGATGCTGATCACTGGTTACTAAGAGCAACTGAATGGGAAGGGAATTCAGGTTGACAAAGGAAAACAATATTGGCTAAAAGTATCCAAGGAATTAAAATGGCTCAGTCCGTACATTTTTTGGGCTATACTTGTAATGGAAATGGTGCTTTAGGTATGTCCTACCCACCACCTGTGTCACAAGGAGCTATTTTTAACCTGGTTTCCTCAAGAATCAAAGCTTATGTGAACAGACTGTGTGTGTGTGCAACTTTCATACCCTCTCGCCACATCTAATAACTTGGGACTCTCTTGGCCAATTCAGTCCAATCTGCAGAAGGGCAAAAGTCACAAAGTCATTAAATTCTTATAAGCTTTGTGAAAACAGATGTCCAGATAAAGGGAGAATCCCATTATTACCCTAAATCAGGCCCATCGAAGAATCACTCTGGCATTCTTCCTTCAGCTCCAAGTACATAGGAACTGCTCAGGACATTACTTTTTAATCTGGTGCTGTTCCAATATTTTCTTCCATGAAAAACTAACTCAGTGTATTTTAATACACCAGACACTAGTCAGCCTCTGAGCTTACTCCAAAAATATTTTTTCAAGATACACCAAAAGCAGCAACATACTTTAGTCATGATTTGGCACCACCTTTTAGATGAGTTCACACTTCAGTGCATGTTGTTATCAGAAGCACACAAGAACATTGGATCAGGAATATATGGACTGAAAAGGTATGAGCACTTTAATTTAAATTTGCTGACTTTCATTAGATTGACACCAATAAACAAACTATTCTATCAGTTCTCAAGGTAGAAGGCAACCCATGGGAATGATATGTGCAAAATTCCTTATGCATTAAAATACATGTAAATTATGTTACTAGGGAACTGCCCAAGCAAAAAAAAAAAAAAAAAAAAAAAAAATTAGTCAGGGAAAGAACACATTTAAGGAAGTTAAATTATCAAGACTTTGAAGCGATGAATCCCTACTAAATTCAGTCCTTCAGACCAAGAGAAAGCATTTGCTCCTAATGTTGCCTCCTCCCCACATTTCACATCCATCAATTAAAATTGAGTCAGAGAACACATTTTGGGGTTTAGTTCCACACCCAAGGAGTATAGTACTGGCATATCAGGCAAAGTAGTTACGTCACAAACACACATCTTTAGCCAGAGTGGCAAAGGCAAGTTTTATAGCATGATGGTAAGAAACACGCTACTCATTTCCCCTTTCCTTGAGACTACAGCCATTGGGGTGAACGCGACTGTTACGGCAGAGGAAGGCACACTAGCAACCACCAGGACCATTGCTCCTGTGAACGTTGCTTTGACATCGGTGGAGTGAATGTGGTTAAGTAAAAAATAATTTCCTCGTAAACCAGGTGAACTCCTTCCCCATTTTGTTACTACTATCCAGAAAATTTATGATGAGAGAGACCATTGCTTTCCTCTTCCTCATTCCATGTTTCTGTAGTATTTTAGAATATTTCTGAGCCTTTCAAGACTCTCCCTTGACTCAAATACTAGCAATACACGCTTGTGGCACATAAATATTTGTTTATGCAAATATATTTTAATTCAAACGTTTAATCTTGCCAGGTAAACAAAAGAAAGATAATGCTGATGGTACTTTTCACAGAAGACTTAGCTCATGGTTTTAATTTCCTGTTTTTATTAGCTTACCTCACTTGATGAAAATATTAACACATTTTGAGAAGTACATTTTATTTTCTGGTTTCTCAAGAAAACGCTTTGTTTCTACCACCTTATTAGAGGCACCATCTTTTAATTGGAACAAGTTTTAAATTGAAAGAAGTGATTGAAAAAAACATGCTGATGTGCCACCACGCTACTGTAAATGCCCACTTGGTCATATCTAAAGTTGGTTTTATGCTGAATATCAATACGCAATTAGAAAGAGACAATGGAAGTAGTGCTGGGCCTCTGCAGAGTACTCTTTCAGCATTTGTGAGCTCCTTTCTTGTTTATGCTGCCGGAGTCTATCAAACAACTCTCATGTTGACACAATCAAGCAACCATAATGAATGGCTGTAAATACAGTCAAAGCAAGAGATAACAATAAGCAGAATAAGTAAGTCCTCATTTGAAGATGAAACAGCGTTTCTGAGTGAGGAGTATGTGATTAACCTGCCATATGTGGGGTCAATACGATTTACTCTCACAGCTACGCAGCCAGTCTTAGCCCTGGGCCTCACTTGCTATCAGACACGACCCTTCTTCAAATCAACCCTCCCCTATGTCTAGCTAACACCCTGAGCTCTTAAGAAAATTAACTATTGTGTCTTTCGTTTAAATTATTTCCACCCCTACTTGGAAATAACTGTTAGCATGACAGACAGTTTACCAAGCATGCTTTCTAGCCTACAGTTCATCTATCTGCTGCCTGCAATGCTCCAGCAGCCTTAGAGCTGATCTTGAAAACCACAGACATGGAAAACAAAGGAGTACTTATTTTGTCTAAATTCTGAGTATTCCTAGAACACCACTCTCTTGGCCCAATACCAAAGAATAAAAAGCAGTAGCCCACTACATTTTAAGACAAACAAGTGGTTCAAAATAGAGGCACAATACTGGATTTGGTTCAAACATTTGACAGAAACTCCCCATTTCATTAAAAAAAGCTACTTTGCTTGGAGGGACGAACCTCTTACCTTTTGTAGCTATTCGAACACACTGAGTTTTGGTTTCCTGTTGAGGAGGCAAAAGTAAAGAAAACAGTCAGATCAGGTTGTTTTTTCTTGCCCTCCCCATTCCACAAATTCATCTGAGATCTGCTGATCAGCTAGGGCAACCCAACAAGGTGGCTCAGAGCCTCTTCTCTCCTGCTGAGCCCAGAGCCGAGTAATTCTGCCTTTACACAAGCTGGATGAAATCTTGACATTGATCTGTACTATCCAGGATAACGATGGGGAGAAAAGATGCAGGACAGCCCAGATGTAGCCAAATTTCACAATATTCAAATCAAATGGAAATCATGCCATAACAATACAGAGAGAGGGTGCAGTGGAAATAAGGGGAAGACTGGTGCTCATCTTTATTTCCTGGCACAGAGATCCCGAGCCAGTGTTGACCTCCAACAGCACCATGCAGCAAAGAAGGCACATTTATTCAACACTGTCTCCAAACTAACTTGTCTTGCTGCATCATGATGGTGTTAAATGGAGTCACCTGAAACATGTCAGCCACATGCTCCCTCATGCTTCTGAGTGCGGAATTAGAAACAGCCCAGGTATCCCTTCATTTATGACACAGTTAACCTACAACCTATATAATCTGCCCAGGAAAGACAGTGATCGGACAGTGATGTGCTTCAGAAGAAGTTACACATGCAAAGACAATTTTTTTTTTTCTTCTGTTCCTCCCATGTCCCTCCTTCCTTCAGAAGTTTGGTCAGCAATTTAAGCAAATGAACAGAGAAATCACTTGGTTATGCACAGTTTGGACAACTCGAACAGACAAAGGTCATTCAGAAATGGGTTTTCTGACCTTTTTGTACAATATGCAGTCATGTTAAAGGCAAACATATTGAAATAGCATAAGGTTGTGTGAGAGGATGCAGCCGCTGCTGTATTAGATCACTAAACAGTATTAGCATGTAATTAGAAAATATAATAATGACAGTTTCATTCTATAAAATATGCTCCCTCTAGTCCTGCACGCCCCAGCACTCCTATCCCTGCATACATCCCCTGGGATATGTCTCCTCTTGAAGATTCCCAAGCAACAGGTAAAATACGTCGATGGTGTTTTGTAAACACAGCTTGCAAAAAACAAGCAAAGCTGTGGGTTGACGCTTCCCCTAAATGTTCCATGAAGACAATTTTTCAACCTAAATGAAAGCTCTGCAAAATTTATCAATATAATCTTACCTAATTGGCATTCTCCCCAGTAACTGGATTTACTTGTCCACTTCTGTTCACAATGTCTGCGAGGATCACTGAATAACAACCCTCATCCCAACCCTATAGTGTACTTCAGAGCATACTTTACTTCCCTTTGACTATTTTGGTGAGCCCACTGCTTTATAGTAAAGCACCTGTTTAAATATTCTGCAGCTCAGAGGTTATCTTACAACCTGGCTGAATAAACTCTGTCCTGGCAGAATGCAGTGCAGTCAACCCAAAAGTTCCCCCCAAATCCCCCTTGGAACAGAAATCTGATCCAAAGTTTTAAAACTTACTAGAGAAAACCATTTCAGGATTAAAGTCTCTCACAAGCTGAAATCAAGTTAAAGTGAAAAATAGCGTGTTCTTCCCTCATCTTATACTCATTTGTCAAAATGTAAAAGCCAAAATAAAGATCTATTTTTGTACTTAATATTTTTGTTTTAATTTCTCTCCCATTTATTTCTTGAGGAATGAAACAAATGTCCTTACAATTTAGTCAGCTGGAAGCCAGCAAAAGCAAAGGGAATATATGTAGCAGGTGAGGGAAACATGAATGAGTGACTAGCAGTTACCTTTTATTTTGCTTTGTTTGCTTCCAACAGGTCTATAGATAAGAACTAGAAAGAGGGGACGGTCTCTTCCATCAGGAAAAGCCTCTGGTTCTCAAGCAGCTCTAGTATAGTTTCATTAGTTCTTGCTTTTTCCCCATTATGACTTGTTGCACATGCAATTTTCAGACTAGGTCTGCCTGTTAGCTAGGATTTGTTTAGTCACTGCAGAGACCCAAATGTAAGGAAGGGTAAACTCGGCTTCCGCTGCTTTCTGATGGCTCTGGTGAGCCTCAGCCGCCATCGATCCGGCTGTTCCTTCTTGCTCCTTTCTGACGTGCCTGGATGCTTCCTATGGAGATTCTTATGGACATATTACTGCAATTTCCTTCAGATTTCTAAACTATAAATCAAAAATTTAAATTTTTAAATATCTGAAGCTTCTGTGCCTACCATCTTTTCCTTCCTCACTGATCATTTCCCCGTCCTCCATTTTTCATCGATGAGAGGAAAAACCATTCAAGAGCGACAGCACAGGGCTTGCAGAGCCACGATTGTTCTTCCCACCTGGAATCTCTCTCCCTGGCACTTTACCCTCTTCCATGTGCATAGAGAGCCAGCAGAAGTACTCAGCGACAGAGTCAAAAACGAAACACAAGGAGGTAATGAAGGTGAGCGACAGCCGTACTCTTATTACTGGAGAGCAGTGGAGCAAGCCTCAAGCACACCTTTTCAGAAAGGCTCTTGAAAACACTCCGTGGGCCTGGGGTTACTTTTGTTCAAGCAAATTTTTTCTTTCTATCTGACATTCAGTGTGAGAGTCTCAAAAGTTTGTAATGTTTTATTAGCCTGCTGAGCAGCCGCCATTCTGTTTATTCTGCAGTAATTTAATCTTCTGAAGTGTGCAAGTACTGATAATTGGGGAAAGGGCTGTGGATGTTATTTACCGAGGAGGCAGAGTCACAGCACTGAAATTAGTTCGCTGAGATGATTACTACAAGACGTATTAAACTCTCGCCTAGTAGCAGTTTCTATGATACAAGGGCGGTGTGAAATGTGAATGGCACATCGCCATGCTGTCACAGCACGGAAGGGATTACAGCTGTGCCACTGCCACCACCTACTACGTCCAACTCTGACAGTCCTAATTGTCACCATGGGCATGTCTTTGACTCCTTCCAGGAGAAAGGTGTGGTTGGCACTTACCTTCTCAACACTGCTCATGGCCTGGAAATAGATGTTGTAGCCTTTCCGAGGAGCCAGTGGCGGGTTCCAGAAACCTTGGTAAGTCCTGTTGTCACCCACGGTAAAGGGGGCTGGCTCTGGCAGGTTTCCCGGGGGCAGCTCAGCAGCAAAGTAATACGGTGACCCTCCGCTAAGAGCGGTCTGATAGGTGACAGGGATTTGGTAGCACTCCATGGCACCCGTTTCTCGCTTTGTTCGGTGCGGGTGCAGCTCCTCAACAACGATCTGGTAGGCACTAGTGAAACAGAGGAAGACCAGCATATCTTTAAGGTCACCTGCTAGGGTTAAATCTCTAGTATTACAAAAGAATTAACCTAATTGCTTCGTGTAAACTTAAAAAGAAAACAAAAAAAAGAAAAAAGGGAAAGACAGCAGATGCATGGATGCAGAGAAGAAACAAAGGCATGAAATATAGCAAAACTATCTAATTCAGCCATGGGGAAGAGCAGCATCCTTTTTTTTTCAGGAAAATCAACAATACAAATCTATATGCAACCTCCTAACAATGATCCACTATTTTTTAAATTTTTTTTCTTTTGAAGAAATACAGGAGTAAATCTGACTTTGAATTACAATAGATTAAACCCTTGGCTAATCGGAAGCATCTTAAGTTAGCATTTTCCTTTGAAACGATATTAGAGAAAGCTCAGCTTCAAGGCCCAACATAATGACTGCCTCCAGGCTGTGCTTGAAGCACCAATTTGCCATTGTCATATCATTAGAGACAGAATGTGCTGACAGGCTTCTCCACCTCTTGACCTTGCTGTGGCTTCTATCTTGGCTCAGAGCTATGCAGATCTAAAGTACAAGTGACATGCTGTAATACAAGCACAGATGGACAGAAATCTGTCCATTCCACCAAAATAGACTGCCTCATTCCTCTACAGTTGTGAATGATAAAGCGTTACAAACTGCTGAAGCAGATGGCATTCGGCCCATTAGAACGCCATCTCAACCTCACAATACCTCTCTTGAAATGGTCCATGGCTTGGTCACTTTTCAAAATCACCTGCTCAAAATAGAACAGGTAATTGTAATTCTTCTTTCTCCTTTAGGGGAACTACCTAACTGCAGGATGTTACCAACGCATTATCAGCTTCCTCTGCTCTGTATAAGTACAGAACTTACATACTGAGAGCAGGAGGCAATTCTGCAGCTTATAAGAAAAAAAGAAAAGAAAACATGAGGCTTTTAAGAACTGTACATAGGCATACACACATATACATGCATGTGTATACATAGCAGATCCATTTGAGGACCTTATGAAAAATCAGTACGAAAATATGCCTAAGCATGTAGACAAGACCTGAAGCTATTCAATTAAACTGGCAGAATTGCCTGTCTTGGTTTTGTTTTAAAGCTTTCTAAACAGAAAAAGTAAAATTGAACAGAATTCTGGAAGCGTCACTGCATTGTTGCAGGGACTCCAAAAGGCAAAGGCAAAGACAATCCTCCTCATTTCAGAACTTATGGGGCAGCATTAAATTATTTTGTCAATTTTCTCGGGTACTACTGCCCAGAAAACCCAATAACTATAGTGGCAGAGATGAAGTATGATACTAGGGAATGGAAGAAAAGAGAGAAGAAAAAATAAGAAATTAGTTTCATGTCTGTCTTGAGCTGAAAGAAGTTAGCATCCTCTTTTCCTAGCACCTAAAAAAATCAAGGAGGAAAGCCTCTTCCCTTTCAAATTGACCACGAGTAACATAAAAAGTCACCTCATTTTTGAAAATCTCAGTAAAAAGAAGAACATAAAGAAAAAAATGATGAGTTCGTTCCAGGGATCTCTGTTTCTCATAAACTGTCTATGAAGTGAACTTGGTTACAAATCATCTTCTGTGATAAACTCTATGCATTAACCATGTCCAGTTAATGCAGCCTGCAGCAACAAATCACTTCAACGAGAGCCCTGCACACCCAGAATCTTTCTTTACGCTTCAAAATTAATGTACTAGCAAAAAACATTAAGAGCATCAATATTTTAAAAACTTGACAGGATGTAAACTATTAAGAAGAATTTTTGTTTACAATGTCCCAAGGGAAGAAATGACTACAGGCGTTCATTCCTGCCCCAGCCTGGCCCTGGACCCAGGCAAGGTTAAAACCACCGCTCCCAAACTGGGCAGCCAACTGAAGAGTACTGGGAACACAGACACCGTGTCTCTGCTCCCTCCGTTCTGCAGTCTTCTCTCGCGAGCTGCCAAAGGACTGGGACTGACACAAATTCTGCTCTCCAAAGTGCCAGGAGAGCAGGGAAACTTGTCATCTGCAACACCCTGCCAACTTCAGAGGAGAAAGCCAGCAGGGAGAACGGAAGGACAGTGCCAGCACGTGGTGGAAGCAGCCATCCCCCAGAACAGGCCTGTCATGCAGCTCAGAAGTCGACATCTACCACATTCACCAAATTAACCCCCTTTCTTCCTCCCTATTTATAGAATAAAGGGTAAATGGGGTACCTTTTTTTAAAGACATATCTCCTTTTTAAGGGTCAAGTCTCTCTGGAGAACAAAGAACTCCAAAAATCAAATATGAAGGGCACGAGAGTTAAATATTAGCACAGTCTCTTTTAATGGCATTCTTCAAAAACATGAAGTGATTTTTGAATATGATATAAAAGGTATGGCAAAATTTCAAGCATAAGATCACAATAAAATGTGAAGGTTCTGAAAAATTTTCAAACAAATTACTTTACATAAAATATCGTTCCAAAATTAATGCTTTTTGTGGCCCTACATCTGAAAAACTAAATATGTGGAAAAGAAGAAATAAATATACACATTGCAGCCATCTGCATCTATACAATCACATTTAGTTAAAGAAAGAATACCCAATGACAGAAAGTCTTTAAAAGTCTCCAATAAGGCTTTTTTTTTAATTATTTTAATGTTCACAAACTTATTAAAATAAAAGATATCCCTATCCTCTTTGGAATGGGGCAGTATTTTTCACACAACATTATAGGCTAACAAGACACGCAGGAATACAGTCATTTACCTCTGGGCCCTTGGTGATACCATCTGTTTAAGCCCATTTACTAACACTACAGAGGCTGCAAAGCAGCACTGTCACTCGACATACAATAACAGTGTTTGGAAAGGACACTCCGCTCTAAGATGTGAAGACAGAAGCCAAAGTTAAATTTGCAACTTGGAAAACGCAGTGTTCAATGGCTGCAAAGGTGATCTGATATCAGGCTGTAAGTGAAAGTTTAAAGACAATGTACTCTGCTTATCATCGGATTTTTAAATATTACTAATCCTAGCTTCAGTTATGTTTTCTACGTGTTTTTTGTGTAACAGTGGGAATTCAATTATTGAGAGAGCTTTCTTGTGACTGCAGATGAGGGAATTCCCACAATAGCTGTTGTTTCCCCCCCCCCGTCTTCCCATCCAGCAAACGAGGAATAAAACAGAGAAAGAGGGACAGGTGGAAAACACAGATGATAGTATTCCTTCTCCCTGATGACTAAAATAACTCCTGAGCTGTTCTGAAGAGTAATACAAATTTCAAGAAGCTGCTACATAAGTTGCTGGGATGATAAAGGCCAAACAGTTGTCTGGGGCAGCGAGGAAAGCGGAGAAAGTGTTGAAGATGGAACAGGTGAAGAGCTCCTCTGCGAGATTTTGCATGAGAAAATTATTTTTGACATTAAAAAAATTTTCCTTTTACTTAAGAAAATCTGCACAGAACCTCCCTCTTGACCAAGACAATTACAAACAGCGTAAGGTGGCCCCTGCCAACAGATCTTCCTTTTCACCTCTCCCTAAAAACTCAGGCTCTCAGACAGGTACTGTAGAGGTGAACATGTTCTACTTCAGCCCTATTCTGTCTGGGCTTTAATATCAGCTAGAGAGTTCCTTCCACGTGTCTAGTTGAGACACAGTGTCTTCTCCCTTGACAAATGCCAGACTGACCAACAGCCCAACTTACAACCTGAGCTCCTGGAAGTCTGAATGACAAGTAAGTTTTAGCTGCTCCCTGCCATGGTACACTTAATTAGTCTTGTTGCAAAATGAAAACCACCTGATTTTGCAAATGAATGTATAAGAAAAACACTTTACCAATCAAATAAAATAAATTTCATCATTAAAAAGTTGTCTATGCTGATTCTGATACATGTGCTTTGGAATCTTCATCTGCAGTAGGATTTGAAAACAAAAGATTGTTTTACTGGTGCTCAATTAGGATCCTTCAGAAAAACTACAGTGACAAATCACATCTTCAAATGAATCACTGAAGCACCATTGATGCTACTGACTGGGATCTCATCCACAAGATTGATGGTGAAACGGTACACGCTTCTGAGCCATCCAGTCCTGTCTCCTTTTGCATTTCTAGTTTGTAATTTGGTTTAAAACTTCAGGAGGCCATAAAGAATGCTAGAGATTACATGATAACACTCGACAGGGAAGATATGATTAGAGTCATGTTTAAACTGTGATGACTATGGCATGTAGTGTCTTAAACAAATGACTGACAGCTGCACATAGATTTCACTTGAGTTAAGGAACATCTGTTTCCTGGGGGGCTGTGCTGATGGAGAGGCTGAGGTACAACAAAATCTGATCATAGTATAACTCTCTAAAAGCAACAGTATCAGACTAAGCTTTTTTTCCCACCCTTTTTTTCTTTCTTTTTAAAAAAACAAAACAAAAAAACCCCACATGGACCTACTGCTATTAAATAAAATGATCTTTTGACCATCTCTAGCTCCAGGGACCAGAGGACTGAGTGCAAATAAACCTTTCCAAAAAGCCAACTGTATTCTTCAGTTTCAGACTAAAGAACAGCATTCTACTCAATCGCAGCTGCAGGCATGGCGATGCATTTCTTTCCCACCTACCTAGTAACACTCATTATGGCAGCAAGCCAGCTTGTTGTGGAAACAACTCCAGTGTGGATGGAGTGAAACTTCACTAAAACGCGTCATAAAGTTTAGCGAAATGCATTGACTCAATTCAGAATTTCAGTGTGCCACATTTATCTCCCCCTATTAAGAAGCTGCTGAAAAATACCTGACTGCAATATGCATAACTTCAGGAAAGCGAACGGGACCATGTCTTCTGCATTCCCCTGGAGAATGGTCCTCATTCCATGTAAGGAAAAAACCACCTAGTTTGTTTTAAGAATAAAGCTCAGCTCTCCGGTTATGGTGAAGGACTTACTTCCTTGGCCTCTTGATGTTAGAAATTTAATGTCTTAGGTTTTAGAAATTAATTAACGTGGAGAGAGAAAACATGAGACAGGAAGACAGACATATGTGTTTTTGAGAACATTCTCAAACAACAGTTATTAATACTCTATCAAACTATCTATTAACATTTAATACATAGATCCTTTTTGCCACCTTTGTAGGTCACAGTGACAAGCTCATGCCATAGAACTGAGGATGGTGTAAGGAAAATTGAGATAATAAATGTGAGGTGGTGTGCTGCAGGTTACTTGCCTGCCAGTACAGTACAGTGCAGAGAAACCAGGGCTCCCTGAGCCAGGTAGGAGTAAACCTCTAGCCATATCCCATCACGCTACCAGTTCGTGGACGGAGACCCCCAGGAGAGAAACCCGGGTTGTGAGACTGACTCCCCTCAGGGTGAGTGGTGGGACCGAAGGCGGGAGCCTGCTGCTGTCTGCACAAATGTGCCACAGACCGGCTGGTGTAGAGAAGATGTGCACCATCACCATCAGATACCCAGTGGTATCTGGCAGGCGTGCCCTGGGTGAGCCTATGCACCAGCCCCCTTGAGGGACCAGGCACAAGACTGAAAGGATTTGGCATGGATTAGATGAGACACAGATATCACATTTCTCAAACAGAGAGAGCTTTGGATATGGCCAGCCACTCGACACCTGGAAAGCTTTAAAAGCACCTACAAAGATGTATAGTGAGTTTAAGCCCCTGCATAACTTGGGAGCATTTTCAGATCACAGATCTGGTTTCCACTGTATCAATTAAACACAAACCCTATTTTAGGAATCCAAGTCCTGTACTGAATGTAGTCCTGTACATTTTGCCATTCTTCACACCCAAAAAAATCCTAGATTTGCTCCAGGGCAATCTTTCAGAAACTAATGATGTACAGGGATACAATTTTATTTATGACTATAACACTTCAATGTCTCCTATAAAGGGAATGAATCTGGATTATCTTCTATGATACAATATGACAGTGATAGGACGAGGGCTAATCGTTTTAAACTAAAAGAGGGTACATTTAGATTAGATGTTAGGAAGAAATTCTTTACTGTGAGGGTGGTGAGGCACTGGAACAGGTTGCCCAGAGAGGTTGTGGCTGCCCCCTCCCTGGAAGTGTTCAAGGCCAGGTTGGATGGGGCTTTGGGCAACCTGGTCTAGTGGAGGGTGTCCCTGCCCATGGCAGGGGGGTTGGAACTAGACGAGCTTTGAGGTCCCTTCCAACCCAAACCATTCTGTGATTCTGTGATAAATTAACTTCAGCATATCAATCATGAGGGTGACTCTATGATAAGCGTACAAAAAAAATACTTATAGGTACGTGACTCATCCCCACAACATCCAAGTAAAACATATATTCCTCTTAGTGGAAACAGACTTAAGAAACAGTTAATTTTCCTCTGCTTTTAGGGCTCAGGCACATTACTCAACATCAGCTGCGCCACGGTAACTGACTTAATGTAACACAGAATGAAATGCATTAGCCCATATTTCTCTAAAATGTCACAAGGGTAAAAGCATGAAAAGGTTCTGATGATCAGTAGCTAATTAACCCCCAATTAGTCAACCCTGTCCCTGAATCTTGCTGATGCAGCCATATCAGTAAAACACAAATGGAATCAAATAATATCACAAAAATTTTGCGCTAACAAGTAGAAGAGCAGGATGTGGACTAATCTTTGCAAACAGAATTAAATTATCTCTCAATAGAGAGCAGAAAGGGAAAGACCCCTCAAAGTTAACATAAATGAAACATTTTAATATGATTATGGGACACACCAAATGAAATTTAATAGCTTGCTACATGATTTCTAGTAAGAAGCACTCTGAGAGGAAAAAGGTCAAATAGTTTGTATTCATCACTATTATTCTCCCATTTCCTCTGAGCTTCCAATTTTCCAATCATACATATATGCTATAGAATAGCTGATTTGAAGTACTGGAGAGGAAGTGTTATTTTCAAATCCACTTTCTGACAAACACCTTTCAACCTCATATTTCACAGAGACTGTGAGAAAGTAAAATGAAATTATAATGGACAGGAGGTGGTCTTGGGGACCCTAAATCAAACAGGACAGACAAATGGATGATTCAGGTCATGACTACCTTAAAAAAAAATAAATTCTTATTAATTACAGATCTATTGGTAAGTTCAGTCTAGCTAAGAAAAACGATAGTAATGTCCAATGAATCTCACTTGGAAATGAACAGCTTTGTGAGCTGCAAGACAACTCAAATAATATAATCAACTAAAAAATCTCTTTATTTTTTTAACTTTTTTTTTTTAATTTATTTTTGTTTTTACCTGATAGGTGCACCTTTGGCTTGTGCTGGTCTCAAGAGTACAGTTATTGTAGTAGCAGTTTCATTGAGAGATGCATCGACTCCTTCATAGTCCGGTAAAGTCGGAGCTGATTAATGTTGAATGGGAAGGAAAAGAATGAGAAACAAATCAGTGAAAACAATTTGAATTTTCATGAGATTGTGGCTGTTTGCAATATAGTATAAAGCCACAATTTTCATCAGCTATGTGAATCTTTTTTAATGATTTCCCAGTCAGGTACAATCTTTTACTAGAGCATAAATGGAACCTCACCAACAACTGATAACACCGTCCCTAACTGCTCCCCATCAAATCATTATACCTATCTAGTTAAACAGGTTTATTCAAGAAGGACAGAAATAGAGGGAGGAGGTGACTGCCAAGAAACGCTAAGACTACAAAATCCCATTTTGGCCTCAGTCTTTCTACCTTACAAACAACTATATTCACCATCTTGAAGACCCACCTCTACCACCTCTTTTTTCCCCTCCTCCAGCAATTTTGGAGCCTTTCACATTTCCTCTTAAACGTCATGGGAGACTGCAACAATACCAACCAGGCTGCAGGAAAATTGGGCTTGGACAGACATGCATCTGTGGACTAGAACTGGACGGGGGAGTCTATTTCCATGCCCATTTCTCCTTCTGTTTCTAACAGTGGATGGCCAAGTTGTTCATGGATCAGTTTCTGAATCACTGCCGTTTTCAGCCCAGGGTATTAAGAAAAAACAAAGTCAGAAGTAGAAGCAGTTCAGGAACTGGCTGCTAGACCTTCGTGGTAGTAACATTTGTTGTGTGTTGGATGGCTGGTGTTGGTGATCACTTCAACCATCCAACTTTAATATTCTGCACAAACCTGCCTCAGCCCGCACTGGTAATACTGTTGCTGACTTCAGCTCTAATGCAAGGAAAGAAACAGGATTTTCTGTGATTCAGAAAATAATAGATTTCTATTAATTACGAATCTTTAACAAGCTTGAAAACTATCTGCATTTTTTTAAATATGTGGCTGTACCTTTATAAAACTGTCAATAATGCTTGTACGCTGAACAAAAAAGATGTGTCCTAGCAGGATGTCAATTGTTTAAGTCATAATAATTTTACAATACCATATCAATAGAAGAGCACTGAAAATTTATTAGTCCCAGATCCTAGATGAACACAAAAATTGCTCTTATTTCATGAAATAGTATTTTATAGAAATAATGTTCATTTAATGTTAATTTATTTATAAATTAGTATTTACATCATGGTCACTAGGATCATGGGAACCACTTGGAAGCTTGGAATAAATTCACTCCTCATTAAAATAAAGCTAGCATTTCCTGAAACATATGCATTGCTTCATCAAAAGTATCAGTTATGCAGGCTGAAACTAGACAACAGCATAAAGAAAGACGAAAAAATCCCCAGATTGAAATTCAGATACAAAGGGTGTCCCAGCCTGCCTTTAAGCTTTCGTAGTATTAACTATGTTTTGCCAACTAAAAGACCCATACTGTGTCTAGAAAGTGCAGTAGACTGGATTCTGGACAAAATTCCCGAAATTTCTGGGTGGAAAAAGAGTGCACATCTGAAGAAGCCTGAACACTTTGTAGTCCTAAACAATCCAAACAAGTCGAGGTACTTATTTCTCAAAATACTGAAACGTCTGGGGGACAGACATGCTAGCAAGATATTACATAGTTAAACCATTTTTTTTCTCCTATGAAGAGAAGACAAGTATGCAAGTACTACATCACCATTATCCCTGAAAATTTATGAACCAGAAGAAACCTTGTGTGAAGAAACACAAGGACCTTAAAAGAACCTGTGTAAAATATTAGACTTCAAAACAACCTAACAGTTAGATAAACAGAACAGAACATGCTGCTTGGGTTTTTCTGGTGGTTTGGTGGGTTGGTTTTCTTGAAGGGGCTGGGATATGAGGGTTGCTAGTCCTTATGTGCTGGGATGGAATTCAACAAATTGTTGCAGTTGACTACGACTACAGCATTTCACTTGCTACATAATTCAAGGAGCTCTACCTTGAATTTTCTCACATTTTGATTTATGTGCATGTTTTTGAGACTATGCAAGTAATTGCCCATAGAAATGGTAGGTACATCCCAATACATTATTAACCTCCCTTTACAGGACAACATAAGTTTCATTATGGCAGATAATAAGGAAAATAGCCTGCTTTGTGCTGTTTACATTTCTAAATGAATGACTGCTTTGATCTCTGCTAAGCTCTGAAGTCACCATGTCATAAAATCAACAGTCTCTCTAAATATAGCACTGACTTATCTTCTGCTATCACCTGCATAAGCTACTATCTTATTTTTTGAGAATAATATTGAAATTTAAGAAAATAAAAAAACTAAAGCATTCCATTTGACATTACTTTCTTCCAGAGTTTGCAATGCGTTATTAAGACGAATAGTGTTAATCTTGGTGCATTGCAGTAAGTGAATAAAGGCACAAGGAAACAGACCTATAGGAATCTGGCAGAAGAAATTCACACTTCCTCCCAACTGCCCCAATTCTGTTATAGCTGTGTGCTGCTAAGTGGTGTCACCTTGAGTAAGTCAGTTAATTTTCTGCATCTGACTTTACTAATCTGCAAAACAAATATAGTACTTAGTGACCTATGGAGTGCTGTAAGGCTTAATTAAGGTTTATACAGCACTTCAAAACCTTTAGATGAAAGTACAAGATTACACAAAATCAAAGAGTTGACAACTACAGGTGTGCAATTTCCACCTCATGCAAGGATTTATCTTTGAACTTATGCTACTGTTTGGCAAATACACTCAAAAACATTTTCAGTAATATAGTTTCACAATATAGTAGGACTTTTGGGGGAGTTTCTTTCACGTGTCCTGATTTTTCAAGTCTTACAAACACCCCCCCCTCCCAAAACCTTGTAAAACCAGTGAACATTCACACATATACTTTTTTGTTGGTTTTTTTTGTTTTTACCTGAGATGTTGGTTGTTACATTGATTGTGGTTGCTGGTCCAAAGCCTTTGACGGTGCTTGCACGTATAAAGAACTGGTAAGTAGTACCAGGATGCAAGTGTGAGAAGACGTGGTGCGTGCTGTTCCACAGCTTCGACACGGTTTGCGGAGGTCCTGCGACTGGAACTGCAGGATCAAACGACCGTATACTGCTATAGCTGACCTGTGAAAACAATTATTTTTTGTAACAATTGTTATGGTTTTTGGCACAAGGGTACTGTTAGCTTGGATGGAAAGAAAAAAAAAAAGACATACGCACATCTAGCTTCCTAGCTATCTTGGGGATACCATGGGTACTTGATGTGTAGAGTCTGCTTTACTTGAAAGAGTATGCAAGTGCCCTTCATCCCTCTTTCCTTATGATTTTAGTTCATGTATGGAAAATTTCAGTGTTACATTTAAGTTAGGATACCCCCTCCATCCTCCCCATCTCCAAAATCCTTTATTTTTCACTTCACTCAACACAACTTCCCTCTCCTCTTCTAATAATCATATTTAAGTGCTGTCCAAACCAGGCTAATATATTTAAACCCAGCAATCACACCTTAATGTACTGGGTTTGACTGTGGTGTAGTTAATTTTGTTCTCAGCAGCTTGTATGGTGCTGTTTTGGATTTGTGCTGAAAACAAAAAAGCTCGCACCTTTGCCCTTCCGATTCCCTCCCCCATCCCACTGCGGGGGAGCGAGCGAGCAGCTGGAGGAGGCTGGTCGGGGTTAACCCACACTATTTAAAGAACTTTGTTAGCATTAAATAGATAAACAAACAAATTTAAGGAGTTTTGGTTGGTTAGTTGGTTTGTCTTCCTCCTATAATTTACTACTACACAAAATTGTATCCTCTGTTCCTTTAAAAAAGGAGTGCTGGAGAGGACGGCACTTGTTCCCCAAATCAGATTATGTTTCTTTCCAACCTCCCATGGAGGTCCCCAGGAGGCTTATACATTAAATACACCTTAAAGAGAATATATATGTAGGTTTTCGTGAAGGGTGATATCTAAAGATCTCACAAAGCTAAAAAACATTGCTCCAAATTGAGTAACGATCTTATTCTTCATGTAACCTTCTCTTCCAACAAAGAAGATTTCATGGATCATGGCTGTCATGGCTTTGGAAGGATGCATAGTAATGATACAAGATTTTTAAAACTAGCATCTCCCATGTGGACTGTAATACTGTTATACTGGCACGCCAAAGCCATTTGACAGGGCTGACCAGCCAACAACATATGCACCATAATTATGATTTTTTAATATCTAATCACTACAGAAATTCCAATATTCTGTAAATGAAAGCAGCATATAATTGAATAGTTGCCTACAGAGCATAAACACCCACTTGCCGTACTTTCGTAGCCCTATCCTATGCTTGTTAGCTGTTTAATGATTACCTCATACTGAGTAATGATGCCATTTGGATCCACAGGTTCCTTCCAGTTGAGGAAGATCTTATCTTCAAAAGGAGTTCCTTTCACCGACTTGGCAGGGATAGGGCCTGGCACTACAAACAAAATAAAACTTTTAAAAATAGGAAATTCGAGAGACGGATAAATTAAAGATATGGCAGAACATCCTATTAAAACCAAAAGGGAGCACGGGTCTCTTTTTATTAATATTCATTTGCATGCAAAAGGCAGAGGTAAAAGCATGAAAAAGCACTTCAAAGTGTATTTTGTTATTCAGAGTGCAGAGAGAGCATGAAGTTGAAACGTTATCCTCGCATAAGGTTTTCTAAACTTCATGCAAAGTCAAATTGTCTCGTAGTATAGCCAGGGGAAACAGTTCAAGCTAGATTATGACTTCAGGTGTTCAGGGAACATCACTGAACTCCGTAATAAGCGTATCCTAGGACAAGGACTACATGGTTTTAAAATCCTTTTAAAAAGAAAAATCAAAGGCAAGGAAAAGCCTATGCTATACACCATCTTCCAAACAAGAGACATGCCTCCAAAACAGTTTTCAGTCACCCCTTCTTATGATTTGTTGTTTTAAAAGAAATCCTCATTTAAAGAGGGGGCTGGGCACGGGGCAATCGCAGCAGCTCAGCTGCCACTTCTGTCAGCCGCTGGC